TGGTTGTCCATCGAAACTATGAGAGATCGAATTTTCTCCACTCAATCGGACATTTGGTCGTTCGGCATAGTGCTATGGGAGTTCTTCACATTGGCAGAGACTCCGTATCCTGGAATGGAAACGGAGATAGTGTACCAAAAGCTGATCGAGGGTTACAGAATGGAGCAGCCAGAATATGCCACGCCCGAAGTGTAGGTTCACTCACGATTTTTTATTTGGGAAAGATTTGGAACTGTGCCTTGTCAGTTATATTCGAAAGCAAGTTAAAGGCAACAGTTTAAAGATGCCTGACTTTCTAAACATATGACAACTAATGTGCTTCATCGAGTAGCTGCACAACTTTGAGCTGCCAGACGTCATCTAGGGTTCGTCCGTCGACAGAAACTGTTGCTTGCAGAGGCTTCGCGAACTCCTTACCGTGCCTAATCTGCCGCGGGTTTCCCTTAAACTAACTTTCCCGTAAGCTTACATACTAGACCCGCGGGCGTTATGTCGAATGCAAATTTTCAAATCTTCCCAATGACAAGGTCAACTGTATCAGCGTTGTTAATCGTACGACGACCGTACGTGTACTGTAATTTGTAATCGATAACTCATGCTTTGCAATTTATCATCTCTAGGTACGACATAATGTGTCAGTGTTGGAAGGCCGAGCCTTCTCTACGGCCGAGTTTCACGGATCTAGTCAACAGTGTAGGAAAATTGTTGGAGGACAATGTAAGAACGGTAAGTTCGTTGAGTGATCTTCTTTTATCACTACATACAGATCGAAATACTCAGATCAATGGAATCATCTTGGAACGAATGGTTTACTTGAACACGTTTTCGTATAATCCACTGGGTACCTGGAGACCGTGATCGTATTGAAAGAATATGTTCGATCGCGATAATTTCGAAAGATAATAACTCTCTGTTAATATCTCCGTTGTTCAGAATTGACGGTTACAAGGCTGACCTTAGATTCTTTGACGCTATTACCAGAATTTGTAACTATGTTAATTCAGTAAGCGGCGACATTGATTTATTTTCTGGCTCCACCAATAAATGTGGGCAATCAAATCTCAAAATCACCAATGTAACCTAATCAAAGTTAACACTTTATTGTAAACGGGTACTCAAATCAGACGTTCGTATTTTAGTTTGGTAAGTTGGATTGTTATTTTCTTAACTATTTATATTGTTCAATAGGACTCTACGACCCGTCCAATGAGTAAATAAATAAATAAATTAGAACTGTACGTGACTGAATTGAAAGAAAAATTGGTAATTTCAGCACTACATCGAATTAAACGCCCCATACCTCGACGTGAACAGGGCTCTGCTAGTGGGCGGGAAGCAAGATTACCTGGCGATGTTCTCTGCTCCGGATCACGCTGTTCTTTCAACATCGACTCACGATTGCACGAATTCCACCGCATCTAGAACCGCTGCGGACTCTGGCTACGTGAGCATGAGTCTCAAGGATGCTGTGGACACATCGCCTATGCTGAAGAAGGAGGAGGAAGAACCCTATTTGGAACCTATTAATGTCCACAAGAGGAGGGCAGAGCTTGCCAGAAACAGAGGAGTGGTGAAGTATCAGTTGGTGCATTGAGATCGGGGTTATGCTAACTGCAACCCGCTGGACAAGTTGGACCTAACAGATCTGAATAAAAAGAGCGATGAGATCGCGGAGAAACGGAATCCGACGGCTGAAATGGGCTTCGCTTCGAGGATCGTGAATATACGTGAGCAGGAGTGCGGTATGAAGATTAATTTGCCTAAAGGATGCGGCAATCAGAGTAACGTGGTCGTAGAATCGAAACGGAATCTCAAGCGTTCGGAAACAGCTGCGTCTTCAAAGCGAACTATTTGATTGCATCTTTGAATTTACTTGACGCTTAGAGAAATATACCTATTACATTATACTGAACCGTACACCTAGAAATAATAATTGATACATTGTACAATAAGATGATTTTCTTGGGAGGAAGAAAAGAAATTTACGAAGTTGTGTAGTATCGAATACATTGTACAGTAATTTCTCTCTAATTCGCGCACAGATTATACACAAAAAAATGGATAATTTTGTAAGAGAAGGTACGATATTATTCTAGCTGTAGAGAATGACTTCTTTCTAGTATATTATGTATTCTAATATTTAAAGATAATACCCTTCAAATGAAATACATATATCTAAATATTTTCATAAAATTAGTTGGCAAAACAAACTTCTTTTATTCGAAATCAGTTTTTGAAATTACAAAATCGCATGTTTCTTATCGCAATCATATTTGCTTCTATATTCTTATAGAGCGTGATAAGACGAATTCGAAATGGCGCAGAAATTAGATTATAATAGGGAAAAATAAACTACAAAAATTAAAAAATTCTCAAATTCGATGCGGCGTGTCTTCCCATTGTCCGATCAATTTCAGATTTTGCGTAAGTAATTTTCTCGCCTAATAGCATAATTCCTGGGGGCGTCTCGAAAACATTTCGATAATCGAAAAGTAAGGTTTACCTATTCAATAATGACTACTCAGTGGTGAATGTGACAGTAGCTAGTGACCTAACAAATGGCAACCCGATGGTGAAAATGATTTCGGCCAGTCCACAAACCCTTCGCAATGGTAACCCGAAGCACCGAGGTCTTTTATTTTTTTTTTTTTTTTCAGAAGGAGGGGAATGCGTTATTTACTACGGCAGGGCGACATGCGCTCCCAGCCAGTGTGGGACTCTCCGGTAACACGGCATACCCACAAAACCCCTCCTCAGAGCTACAGCTCTTCAAGCCGCCAGATTGGCAGAATTTTCCGAATTCGAGGATCACTACACAACGTTCGTCCATTGGTTGAACTGCTGGCTGCATGAGTCACCTCCGTTGCACTACGTTGACGAGCACATTTCTATCTATTTTCGCCCAATCCTCAAGAGTCAATCCGTAATGCACTTGTATACACTCCTGGCATTGCCACGCTGATCGTGCACTGGCGATGCATGCATTGCACCGATGACAGTGTGTTGCCTTGTGTCGAATATACAGTGAACCAATTGAATGCCAACCTCCTACTTTATAACGACCCTGGTCTTGGGCCTCTTGGTCGAGCTTTCGAAAACAATCCTGGCAGAGGCGATGTTCGTTTGACACAAAAATTAATTTCCTGGTGGACGGGAGATAACAAAGCAGTTTCACTAACTTCTCGTATGTATGCGGATCATCAGTCGGTATGGCTCCATGCATCGGCCCACAGAACTGCCCACGTACTTCTTCCTGGTACTTTCCACGTGGAATTGGCATTTTACTGACTGAGATATTTCTATCGTCGTGAAGATTACACTAAATGTCGATAAATGTGTACACGATTTTTGGTCGGTGGCGCGCTTTTATGTGGAAAATATATATGGGGGTGGATTGAACCTGGACCAATCAGGCAGCTTGTCTTTGGGCAGTGTCCCTTTTTGGCGAGGAAATCACTACCCACTGCAAAGTTCGTAGGGGTAGGGAACGGCCCACTACATTCGAGCCGCCGACGGGATTTCTTCGGTAGAAAGACCTGTTAGAGTGGCTCGCGGATAGCTGCCGAAATAATTACTTTCGACTGAGTTCAGCTTCTGGTGATAAAGCAATTGATTTAAGGATCCAACAGTCATTTTATGTCTAATTTTGTATGATTTAGTGCATTTTACGCGTACGAAATAGAATCTGATGACTCATAAAACAGTTACACTTTTAACAGTTGTTCAAATAGAATGAACTTTAACAATGTCAAAATTTATTTTGGAATGCGATATAACAATATTTAGTGGTGTCTCGGAGTCATCATTCGATTGCAAACGGTTAATAGTGCCATAGGCGCGGCGAATCGGCAGATAAATTCTTGCGTGAACACTTAAATAACGCTATTTATAAGTGATTTATTTAGTCTGCAATTACGCGGCGTGCAGATGTGCCGCTTCTTGCTCAGTCAGGAATTAAATAAAATGGTGTCCCTTAGGAATTTTTTCCTCGAAATTTTTAATATCTTTTTTAGCCTATGTTCCTTTATTTGAAA